GGTACGTACGTTAGTTCGTCGGTAGTAGTGTAAGTTACTAACGTTACGTTACGTACGTACGTACGTACTCGTCGTGTAGTGTGTGTGTAGTAGTAGTGTGTATATATATATATATATATATATATATATATATACATGGTATTGTGACTTTATGCTCGGTCTTTGTTCTAGTAATTAATATAGCTTTGACTGATTGCCAGCAGTTTTGAGTCTATGGTTAATTTGTGTTGTAAGAAGAAATATTTTAGTTATTGGATTTTATTCAGATTTTTTAAATTAATTTTATACCTGAACTTTTGTCAAAGTCAGTAATACACTTGTGATTGATTGTTGAAACAGGTGATTGTAAGTGTTTGATTATATTTTGATGTTAGTAGTAATGTATGTATGTGATTGGTTGTTGTTGCTATAGTTGATTTTAATCCTTTACACACTTTTTGTTGTTGGCAGTAACATGTCTGTGTTTGTTGTTGCAGATAATTTAAGTATGCTTAGTTTTTGTTACAAGTAGTATTATATCTTTAAATGGTTGTTGTTTCTAGAGGCTTTAATTTTATTGAAGATAGCGCTTAAACTATCTATCACTCATAACCACAATGAACTAAGTACCCTATGTTATTGCAGGCTGTAACTGACTTATGCCTGTTCTGTAAATCATTATCTGTTTTTTTACTACGTAAGGTGGTTTTGACTTTTTTTTTTAAGTGTTTGGTTTGGTTCTAATTACTTAGAACACTTATTTTTATTTTTTCTCCAGTTGTGGTAAGTCTGTATTGAAGTTGTAGGTAATAGTAAGCCTTTGACTGTTCCCAAGTGATTACAAGTATAGATTCATGCCTATCTAGAAATTATAATTCTGCTTGGGACAGGAAGAAAACTACCAGATTTAGATGTGTGTCTGCAAGGGATGAAATTCATACCTTAATATTCAGTTATCTAGGAAAATGGAAATCATGAAGATGTTTAAGTGATACATGAAATATATTTTAGTGTTTGTATACTTTTTTCATGAAAGAACATTTTTTTTTTTTATTCGGGATTCTACTTCTTCTTTAGTCCTTTTGCTTACTTGTTTTCATGATTATTCTTGGAAAACATTGACTGTTTTTTAAACCTTTATTTTTTATTTGAGGATATTAAAATTCACTTGTTTGACAAAAATTTGATAAAAAAAATAATAGCAAATACATGTAGGTAAAGATACCTATTGACCAGAAGTTTCAATTTTTATTTTTTTACATTTTACTGTGTTAAAAGATTTTAAATTGGAAATACACATTTGTGACACCGGATAGCTACTTTTATGTTTAATGATATGAAAAATGCATTATATGAACAATTGAAACATAACTGAGTAAGTTTATTTGAAAATGATACACTATGTTATTTTAACGTAACACATTATGTCAGTAGAGAGTTTACAAATACTTACTGATTCCTCATTATTAATAAATATCTTTTTGTATTGATTACAATCGGAACATCCATACAAATCAGCTTCCTCTACAGAAAGTCGGGAACAGGTTCAATACCCAACAGATATATCAAACCATGGTAATAAACATGTTAACTCGGTAGGTCATCACTTATCTCTACGAGTTACAAAACAAAAAAGAAAATGTTCCTCCAAAATCGTTTCACCCGAAGAAGAAAAAGTAGAAGAGAGGGCTGAAGTTCAGGTTAGATTAGACATAAAGCTATATTTGTAATTGGTATTTTATGTTTTATTAGATGTATTTTTTTGTTAAAATTGCTTATTGACTGAAAGTACAGAAATTGAAGAATCAATAATTAAATGAATTACTAGCTCAGAAGTCATTTAAATTTAATGATGATACCAGAAACACATCTAAACTTCCTGTTTAGTGAAGAACTAGTATTCCATCAACACATAAAACAACTTGGATAATTAACAGCAATAGTATTAAATTGAATTCTGATATTTAGCAATATTAAACTAAGTAGTTGGATAAGAGTTAAAATTGCAAATGTGGCAGAAATATTAGAATGGAGTTATTGACAGTTGTAGAACTGAATAATGTGTAACAATAGTTGAATTAAATGAATGACTGTGATGACTTATGATATTCAGAGAAGTAAATGTTTTTCTTGCTCATCCTGGATCTACCTGGGAGCAAAAGTTATAGTAAATTCCTGGATTATATCCTGACTTGTTTTTAAAGAGGCTAGCATTATCTTGACATTGTGACTGAATACTTAGTGTGATACCTTATACCCTGTGTACCACCATTGGGGCTGATGAGGTCTTTACTGTTTGATTTAGATCTTGCTCTGTCAGTTTCAGATTACAAATTGACATAAAAGATCTATGACAAATACAAATAAAAGATTAAAATAAAATACAATTAAAGCTAAACATAATAATAATAATAATTAGTCGAAGACATATAGGTTTTTAATGCCTTAATGATAATAATACGCATAATAGTAGTGATACAATTAATTGATTTTGGTTACCTTCTCTAAAATCTGTTCCAACTCCCATACATAAATGGGGTGCTACCATGACTGACCACTAGATTGAAATTGATAGATTAAACTAACATAAAACATGATGTTGCCTAAATGTAATAAAGTGTTTTCTTTCTTCAACAGATTGATCAAAACAGAGAATCAGTCTCATTAAATGTGGTAAGTAAACTTGATGCTGAGGACTTGGGAGTTAAGTTTCATCCAAAACAGTGGATCTGCTCACAGTGCAGCAAGAAGTTTACAGACTGTCTTGCTTTTGCTCATCATTTGCAAGATCATTACAAGCCCACAAATAGTATAAACTCTGTGGAAAGACTGTCAGTGCAAGAACCTACTTCTACAAAAAAGGGAAGGAATCATTTAAGTGATAATGACCAAAAAAAAAGATCAAACTAAGGAATTATTGGAAAAAAGATCACGGCAAGATACAAGTACACAGGTAATTATTAGAATGTCACCTCGATGGCCCAGATAGGGTTAAGAAATTTTTTTACCCACTTACTTAGAAAGCCAGATAAATTATAGTATTATTGGAACATTATATTCTAGTGAGTGATATATTTTTTATGTTTTGAAATGCATATTTGAAAATTAAATTAACTGTTTTTTGAACAAACACATTTCTGAGATTCAACAAGACTTATGGCAGAACTTCTCCTCCAGTGCAAACTGCATCAATTTCACACTGAATAATATAAATCATTGTTTTTATGTATCTTTTTTATTTAGTCTTATATATATATATATTTTAACAAAAGTAACTAAAATGTAAAAAGTAACAACTTCCCAGCTTAGCCAAACAAAACTTTAATAAAATAAAATGTTTGAAACTACACTTGTGTTAAAGGACACCTCACAGGTGATGGTTTCTGTTGTGATTTATTGCTTTTTATGTGCATTAGTCTGACAGTAGACAGTCCAAAGTGCAACAACAAAACCATAAACTTAAAAGAATACAGATGTGGAAAGGCTAGAACTTAAAGCTGTTAATATGATTAATTTGGTTCTTTCTGATCAATGCTGGTGCCAGTGCAGAGAAAAAATGGTATTATGTATATATTTCAACTTTTTATTTATCTGTACAGTTAGTGTTAAGGTAGAGAAAATGAGAGATAAAATGTGAAGTGTTATCAAAAATAAGTTTGATAATCTTGGAGGTTCTAGAGGTTATGCAAATGAAATATGAAAATTGTAAGATGAAAAGTATTTTTATTCTTAGGATAAAAATTACCTTTCATTTAAACTGACTCAGTAAAGATCCATAAGACATACTTTATTAAAAATTCTGATTTCTGTGTACAGCAGACTTGTAACAGTTACTAAAAGCTTGCCAAATCTCATGAAGATACATTTAGTGAATTCAGAATTATAGTAAACATTATATGTATAGCTTCACAGACACAAGAGTGGACAAGTTGACCAAGCCCATGAATCGAATGTCAAGTGATGATGTAAAAATAATTTCTTAACTTCAAAAGCATAGGTCATATGAATATTTGTAGTTTAAATGTTGGTAGCAGGAGTGTAACTGATTAATTTATGGACCATTATGTGATCATATAGAATGAGAGAAAAACACTACCACATATTTGAAATGTGAAGTTAAGGTACAAATCAAAATAACTTCCCTTTAATTATAATTAAATCAGTCAAATAAATAAAGGAAGCTTAACTGTGTACTTTAAAGATGAGAAGTAGTATTCACTCAGACTATTGGAACTTTGTCTTTTATGTTATAAAAATTATAAGGCAACAAAGCTTTTGGAAGCCAACAAAAAATAATTGTGTAATTTCAACACACTTTTTGCATTTTATCAAGAGGTGAATAGTACCAGTATTTTTAAAAGCTTTCTAATGAACTGAATAATTTTTGTTTTTCAAAATATTGACCAGGCATGGCTTATTGGTCAGGTACAAGGCTAGAGCTGTGCTGCTGAACATGCTGCATATTTTTATTTGTGGGAAGTCATTACATCTGTGATGGTTAATCCTGCTATTTGGTTAAGAGTAACTGCATGAGCAGTGGATGTCTTGTAGATTTGTTTCCCTCTCTCTTACATCCTGTGGCTCAGCAGTAAGTCTCAAGGCTTATGATGCTAGAAACTGAGTTTCGATACCCAAGATAGGCACAACACTATAGCCTGTTGTGTAGCTTTGTGCTTAACAAAAAAACATAGGGTTAGCTATGTCTAAATCTTTGGAGTCTCTAATCTGACTATGTAGCCCATGCATTACATAATTATTTGTATCTTTTTGTTTATTAGATTCAACTGGAAGATAAGAACAAGTATAATACTTGTGAAACACTAGAATACAAATCTCAGGAAACCACAACCATAAGAAGAAGAAGTAAAATAAAATTTAAAGAGATGCTTAGGGAAGAACCAGTTGGTGGTAAAAGATTTACATCAACCCTTAAGCAATGTTCTTCTATTGTAAAAAGAAGATATAACTTGAGAATGAGACAAAAAGTTCCGGATCAGAATAAGGTAAGTCTGTTTTTGTTTCAATGAAAAAATATATATTTTCTTTGGCTTTTTAATTTATAAAAATTCCATACATATGGAACTGGCTCGGCATGGCCAGGTGGTTAAGGCACTCGACTCGCAATCTGAGGGTTGCGGTTTCGAATCCCTGTCACACCAAACATGCTCGCCTTTTCAGCCGTGGGGGCGTTATAATGTGATGGTTAATCCCACTATTCGTTGGTAAAAGAGTTGGCGATGGGTGGTGATGACTAGCTGCCTTCCCTCTAGTCTTACACTGCTAAATTAGGGACGGCTAGTGCAGATAGCCCTCGTGTAGCTTTGTGTGAAATTCAAAAACAAAACACATGGAACTTCAAAATGCCAAAACATCAATTAGTTAAAGAAGTAAAAAAAAAAGACTAAATATTTTGTTGGTTTACTATAGTAAAAGCTTGCTTGGTTTTAATGTGGATATCCAAGGTATTAGGAGTACCTAACATATATTTTTCAACAGTATAACAAATAGAATTATTTTGTTGAAACAAGGCATCCCAGTATTAAGACTAAAACTTAAACTGAAATTGAGAATGTATTAAGTTTATTTATTTTCTTAATTTTGACTATCAAAATTGAACAGCATTAATACATAATTTTGCTAAGAAATGTTTGGTAGCTAATCTGATATAAAATTAAATGTGATACATGTAGGTTTAATTACTTCATTGTTTAATAAAATGATGAATCAGGGTGTCCAATTTGACCTAAAATTTACAAAATTTTATAAGATAATGTGTTACCTTTACAATTTTGAGTTAAATTAGAAAAAATGGTTTTATTATGCCTTAATAGTTTCAAAAATAAATATCACAATAAAAAATTAGAAAAACAATTTAATAGTTTTCAAAATAATTATCACAATAAAACAAAAACAACTTGATAGTTTTAATGAATATCACAATAAAAATTAAAAAACAATTTAATAGTTTTAAAAATGAATACCGCAATAAAAAAATAAAGTTTTTATGAAATAAATATCTTGGAGAAATTGCTCTTTTTATTTGTAAGATAAGTAAATAAATATTAATGTTGCATTGATCTTGTTAATTAATATCAAGGGATCATTAGTGAAAATACTTTAATTTGTACTATTTAAGAACTATAAAAGACTTCCTGAATAATAATATAACTAGATATCTTTGTAATGCGAAAAGCTCAAAAGATTACGTCTCATTTTTTAGAATGTTTAGATTAATTATTCATAATTTTTTGTACATTCTCTTACATAAAGATATTTCTTTCTAAAGAACAACTTTTGTAGTAAAGATGTTATTCAAAATTTAAAAAAAAGAAGAATTAACTGGAAAGTATTTATAGTGAAGGAATGAGAATTTATGGTTTGTAACGTTTTTAGGATTTTGTGCTCACTAAACAAGAAAGTAATCAGAAACAGCTAGGAATGAAGAATGGCCATCATGAAGATAAGAAGCTAGGAAGAAAGTTTGAAGAAGTTGGTAACTCAGAGGTAATAAATATTATTCTTTGTGCATATTTTGTATGGAAATAGTTTGTGATGACCAAATCATTGGTAATATATTTCATAAGAATGATGTAAATAACTGGTTATTATATTTGGAGGTGCAAAACAAAGTTATGTTACTAATTTTCCAGGCAACTAAAGATATACTAACTTCTTTGGAATTATTTCTAGCATTTGTTAGATATTAGGTTATAATAACACAAACATTTATTTCACTTTTGATTTTTTGCAACTGAACAAATTCTAGGGTTAAAGATAAAAAATTATGCATTTGAGTGTCCAAAATTATTTCAAACAGAAAATACTATAGTCTATTACAGGTGACCAAATTCTCAGTTTAACTGCTTTTTGCCTGGTGTGTTTTACTTATCAAATACTGTTGAAGGTTAAAGACTCGATAAGGAAAGGATTAATATAGGAAAATAAAAGTATGAGTAGATTTTTATCTGATGGCAAAGGGGTCATAGTTTTTATTTTTTTATTTATTTTTATTTATTTATTTTATTTTATTTTTATGGTCTGAGTATCAATTCAGTTTATTTTCTTACTTTCACTCTATTCTTGTAGGAAGTTATTTTGCAAGCAGTTCTAAATAAAGACTGTGCCTGCTGTTTTTCATTTATAATTTAGCCGACAAATATTTTGAACATTTCACACTTTCACTCATTAAGAAATGGTTTAGTTCAACTTATTATTTCTTAAACATTAAATTCTGTATAGGAAAATTCAAAGGAGAATAAAGCACTCTTCAGTATTGAAAGATCTGTCAAGGAACAAAATGATACAGATAATGATAGAACAGCAGATAGTAGTGATGATGATGAAGATGATCAGTTCATAGATTATGATAGTGTAATGGAAGATGAAGAAAGTCAACATGAAACAAATGCAGCTTCTGGAAATTTTGCTGTGACTGAGAAGGATTTCAAAGGTAGTTTTCTTTTGTAAAGAGATTGTTTATTATAATTCATTTTAATTATCTTACAATAATATTTATCCAAGTTTTTCTGTTAGACTCTGTTTAATCCTATATAAACAGAATTGGTGCTTTGCTCCAACCCTGTACCTATGATGCTATATGCAGTAATACAGTGAATTTACTCTTCACATCATTTGGTAGGCTTTTAGTAAGCATTACCAGTAATATGTTGTACACAGAAAATCTGACTTTTCATGAAAGTATTTTTATTAAAGACTTATCTGTGAATTTACTTATTTAGTGTGACTCAAACACTGACTAGTTCGAATGCAAGTGAGTCAGTGTGACTCGTTTGAATGCAAGGTTATTTTCATGTGGAGAATAAAAATACCTTACAGTTTTCATATTTTCTTTTCATAATATTTTAGATCTATCTCAGTAATTATCAAAAATCGTTTTTTTTTTCAGTAAATTTTTTTGTTTTACCTGTTATTTACTGTATCACTAATTGAAGAAAATTAGCAATGTAGGATAAAGTTAAAAGTTGAAAAATACAAAATGTATATAAATTACCATTTTTTTGTCTTTCTCAAATGATTGCATATTGTAACAGACAATTAAACTATTTATTCTTTCCAGCCAAAGGTAATAGACTTTTTAAATCTGGGTTCATTTAGTTTCATTGCTTTACAGTTGCTCTTAGGTCCTCTCCGGGTATGCCAAAAGCTACTTATAACAGCTTGACAGCTTTGTGCAAACAAATGATCAAGTTACAAGTACAACACAGATAAATTGTCTATTACAAGAAGTTTCTTTATTTAAATATTTGTACCTAACCTGATAAGTATCTAATTTTTACATTTCAGTTACTTTTATAACAATAAAAAGAACATAAAAAGCAATAAATTTAGAACTTACTCATCTGGACTTCTACTGTTTGCTGTCAATGAGGCACTGTAAGTTTTTTGTTGTGATGTTGGTGATCCAAAATAGTTTAAATGTTTATTTCATATATGAAAGTTAGAACATAAAACTTTAACATGTAGATTGATTCCTGAAAAATAAGATTTGTAAAATGTTGTTTAAAATTTTTAGTTTGTGTATTATATGTTCATTTTTGCTGATATTATTAAAAAGAAATTTAATTCTTTTTCTTTTATGAAACATTTAGCTCATCACCAGACCTTTTGCAATTTTGTATGCGTGAACGTAGAAAATTAGCAGGAAATTGTTGTGTAAACATTTTAAAAATCTTATTTTTGTGTTTTGTATGGACTAGCAACACCTACAAGGGAATTTCTGTTTGTTCTAGAGAAGAAACGTCCTGTAATCCATATGCTGCAAAATGAAAAGGTAAATTCTCATAGTTCCACTACCTTGCCTGAAGCTAAAGTTCCTGATAATGTAGCTGACAGTGGAATCAAAGCCAATGACAAAATTGTGCAGAATGAAATCCACCGAACTTCATTGCCCCTGTCTAGAGAAGCTGTCCAACAGGAACCTTCGAGAAATGATTCCAAGGAAAACAAAGAAATAGTAAAAAGGGCACTTGTTCCTAGAGGAGAAGGTGAATATGAGTGTGACTTGTGTGGTGATAGATTTAACAAACCATGTTACCTTTACCGACATTTGAAAAAACATACAGGAGAATTTACTTGTAACCACTGTTACAAGGTGTTTGCAAGAAAGGAGAGTATGATGAAGCACAACTGCCCAGCTTTGGCTAATACTAGTTCACCAGAAAACCACAATTTTGGCTACAGGTGTGAAACCTGCAACAAATCATTTCACTCTAAGAAATCTCTTGATTGCCACATAGCTAGACATACGAGCAGATACAGTTGTAAAGATTGTGGGAGAAATTATTCCTCGGAGGTATGATATTAATGTTCTAGTCCTCTTTTTACACAGAAAAATCATTTAGACCCTTTTCACATACAACATATTAGATATCCTTTTCACGTACAAGATATTAAATGTCCTTTTCACGTACAAGATATTAAATATCCTTTTCACATACAAGATATTAAATATCCTAACTTCTTAGCTTGAAAATGTATACTTTGTAACTGTTACCAGTAATTTATTATCCATGATGATGTAACCACAATTTGTGCATCAGGCATCTGTTTAACGTACCATGTCAATATTAAAGATATACTAGTCAGTAGAGCTGGGCTTGGCGTATTAGTTAGCATGTCTGTACTGCGAAGCTGAGGATTCATGGTTTGTAAGCTGTTGCTGTAAAAATGCACTCTGCACTTTGGGTGCCTTATAAAAGTGATTGTCCAAGTCTATTATTATGTCTGTTATTGAGTACCCCCAAGGATTGCCAGTTAGTGCTATTGACTAACTGCCTTCCGTATAGCTTATCAGTTCAAAATTAGGGATGGCTATGTGCATATAATTGTTGTTGGTAGCTTTGCATGAAATGCAGAATTAAATAAAAAAAATGCTACCTGGTAATTTCATATAACCACATTCACAACAGCTTTATGTTTTATAGTTATTACTGTTTCAAATAGTGTTTTGGTTTAAAATGTTTTTAGAATATTAGTTTTTCATATTTGCGATTCTAGTTGGGCCACAGCTGTTTCAGAACTTGGGTCCAATAGATTGTGTCAGAAAATACGAAACTGTAATTCCCCTTATTTTAAAGTTAACGTTTTTAACATTGAAAGCTGTTGGAAAGAGATAGGCTGTAATTTGTGGTAAAAACGAATACAATGGAGATATTTTTCTTATAGTTTAAATGTGTAATTTCCAAGTACTGTATCGTGTACTTTGGACTTGATGCTAAAAGAAATACTTTAAAAATAGAACATTATTATACATGTGATATAATAAATATTTTAGATATCACTTAAAATACTTCTGTAGAGGTATTCTAGTTTAAATTTTTAATTTGAAAGAGAAAACAAGTGGAAAGTACTAATAGTTTGTAGGTGTTACACAAAGACATATCAAGGAGAGGGGGAGTCTGGATTCCCCCTTTCCTTTTGATAAACCATGAAATTTTTTTAGGTGTACAGAGCAGACTTTTTATAGCAAGAAATTAAAATAGATATAAATAGGGCAATGTCCACCAGTGGCTAGGACTGGGATAACAGCATTATTTGGTGGCATGGAGACTTTGGATATCCGTATGTTTAGTATCATGTAAACAAAACTCTTTCTTTCATGAAAGACTGGATCTACCTCTGGTTGCTTTCATTGTTTTTTTTGATGTACAAGTTATTAATGCATTTTTGTTGTTGTAGCACTTAATACTGTAGTACATGTTTATATATATATTTATATATTATATTGCAAAGCAGGTACTTGTATATGTTTTGTTGTACATCTAAGGTCATGTGTTTATACTCGTTTTAGTATATCCTAAACCATCATGCTTGTCCAGTGCACCCGTCTGCAGAACAGTTCCAGTGTGATATTTGTTATAAATTATTCAGTCAGAAAAAGTACCTTAAGAAACACTTACCAATCCACACAGGAGAACATACATGTGACATCTGTGGTAAGTGGCTAAGATCCACCGAGTCTCTGATGAGCCACGTGAAGTCATGTAGTAAGGTCAGGAAAATTGAGGTTAATGGTAAAGTCAAGTGCCAAGATTGTCACCAGGTAAGTCACTATGCTATGAATTCGATACCTTGGTATTTCAAGAGATCAATATGGTACCTAAATTGTATAGCAGCTATGGCAAATTAATAAGATAATAATTAACTATGTTCTGTGAGATTGGGCATGCTATAGACATCTACATATACTTAGACATTATAGACAGCTATGTTTAGGTATTTGAACTCTTTAAGCAGTTATAAAAAACTCATTAAAGTTTATTTTATTACTAGTTACAGCTTACTGTAAAAACTGTGACGTGTACTAAAATATACTTTATCAGTAAATAAACTCAAAACCTAACCCATTAAAGTTTGTATTCTTACATGTAAAATTCTCAATTTTTGGTTTGTATTAAGACTTAAGACTATACAGTTCTTTGGCTATGAATAAAATAGAGGAGGAAAAACTTGCTCTTTGTGAGATTGCACTGTTCCCTTAGCAGGTAACAGCAGATACAATCAGATGTGCATGTAGTCTGACCACGTTGTCACAGTTTACACGTGTATTGGTGGCCCAATGAATAATGGTGGAATATACACAGTAATGTCAGACTTTATGTGTGCAAGTGGTATTAAAATAGTTTTGTAAAAATGTGCTGTTCATGTAGTATTGATAGGTATGTGTACTAGAGCTTGGCAGCTGTTCATGTAGTATTGATAGGTGTGTGTACTAGAGCTTGGCAATTAGTGGAATTTGTAATTCAGTTAATCATGAAGTCCATTAATCAATTAACTGGTTATTCTCACTTGAGACTTGGAAATTTGGAATAATCTAAAATCATAATAATACTAAAAAAAAACGAACTTAGTTCATCATTTTTGTGAGTTGTGGCATTAATTGATTAAGCTGAACATCCTTGAATTAATCAAAAATAATAATGAGAAATTATATTGGTTATATTTTGATTACTTGGATTATTGAATAATTGGAAATATTAATTTTGATTATATAAAATAAGAACATTCAATGTTTGACAATGTACAATAATTTATTATGCCAGTTAAAAGTAAAATATACAATTCAAAACTACATGTTTCGGTGGAAAAGAATTCCGCCATGTTCAGGAGACCAGAAGAAACACAGAAGATGTCATGTTTTATTTTTACACTAGCATGTGCATGTGTCTAATTTGAATATTATACAGTGCTATCTACAGAACAGATTTCCAAAATTTCACTTCTGTAGCACCTGGGCCTAGATTTCTATTCAAAATCAATTACTTGGAGGATGTTATGAGTATGCTATGCATTTTAAGAGCTCAATATGGTATCTGAATTGTATAGCAGTTCTTGGAATTGAACTGCATGTATCTGATGCCTCTTTTGACACAAATAAACAGTGCAAGTGTGATGTTACTGATCTACTGTATATTAACTTTTTTTTTCTACAAATACCATGTTGTATAACATTTTTTTGCTGGGGCATTATGAATGTTAGGCACACAATTTACTCTTAGAAATGGTTTGGATCTTTTGTTGTTCTCAATTAAACATATATGATGTGAAAGTATTTTTTACAAAGTTTATATATTTGTATAAATTCAGTTTGGAACAAAAGTGACCACACAATTGTTTCATTCAGAACATAATTTTATTTCTAACTATTATCTTGAAACAAGTCAATAATTAAATTGGTTTCAGTTGTTTTCATAATATTTTCTTTACTACCAGCCATCTATTGCCAACTGTATAATAACTTTTGCCCCACCATGTATATATGTGTGGGTTAG